TGGGAAACATAAAAATAGATTTTTGGGAAGGGGCTAGCAATCTGACTCTGTACCTAGTTAATCAGTATCCCTAATGCACATTCTTGCTAGCTGATAATCAACTCACTGCCCTTCTTTAATTATCTGGTCTTGCAAGACCTATTTACCTAAATACTCACATTTTACAGAGGACATAAATCATGAACAATACACAACCCCCAGAGGGGGTTATCAGTGCTGGTGTCAAGCCAGGCCTTTAGGTGTGGTCTCATGTCCTCCATCCCAACACACAGGGCTTTTTGCAAAGCCCGTGAAAGGTCCAGAAGTCTGATCCATATTTGGGGGACAAAGAAACCAAAGGGTATAAAGAAAAAGCTTCCTCCATATTGGCTTGCTCAGGATTTGGAAACAGGCTCTCCTGAGTCACGGTACTAGTACATCTGGAAATAAATGTTTTTTTTCCCCCTATATCTCTGAGTACTCCTGTGTGTACCATATTTTCTGGTCGCCTGGTAAATTCTATAACAATCCAGTAATTCTACTTCTGGATAGTTATTAAAAATAATTGACATAAGGATGTCCATGAGATGTTCATTGCAGCATATTTCCGGTATTCAAGATGTAGTAACCACCTACAGATGACTGGGTAAAGGAAAGGTGGCATATGCATAAAATAGAATATTATTCAGCCTTAAAGAAGGCAATTCTGCCATATGGGACAACACAAGCTTTGATGACATTATGCTAAGTGAAATAAGCTAGTCACAGAAGGACACATACTTATGATTCCACTTATATGAAGACTAGAGGCCCAGTGCATGAAAATTCATGCACTGGGGGAGGGGGGCCTCAGCCTGGCCTGCCTCCTCTCACAGTCCAGGAGCTTTCAGGGAATGTCCTACTGAGGGGTTAAGCGGGGAGCGGGTCTAAGCCACAGTCTGGCCTCCCTCTGCAGGAGGTGACTGGGCCAATCAGGGGAAGGCGCCGCCCCCATCACCCCACTGCTACTACCACTGCCAGCCGCTGCAGCTGCCTGTCCTCGGCCCTCACAGCTGCTGTGGCTTTTTCTGTAAGGATGTTGGAAGATGTCCTGTCTATCTGGTCTAATGAGCATATTACCCTTTCATTAGTATAGATTACAAAATAGTCAAACTCATAGAAGCAGGGATGAGAATGGTGGTGGCCAGCGGCTGGAGGAGGGAGAAATAGTGAGTTCCTATTCAAAGGATATAAAGTGTCAGTTATACAAGATGAATATGTTCTGGAGAGCTATACAGTATAATAGCTATAGTGAACAATACTGTACTGTACAGTTAAAATGTTGTTAAGAGAGTAGAACTCATGTTTAGGTTTAAAAAGGGGTAAAAAAAAATCTGGATTTTCTTGAGCAAAAAAAAGTGAAGGTTTCTAAATCAGGATTCATCAGTTTGGGCCACCTGATTTGCATGGCCTAGTATATATGCAAAAAATAAAAATAAATCCTACAACAGAATCTGAAATAGAGCGTGCCTACAAATTTAACTCTGTCCTATCTCAAAAGTTAGGCCAAATTATATAATCAAATACTAACTTAAAGTTCCTTGTGAATATTGAATTTTATCCAAGGAGTTCAAAGCACTTGGTAAATAAATAAATGTTATTAACACTTATTGCTTACTATGTCCACGAAATGGGATATAAAGATGCAAATTAAAATCTTGGTTTGCAAGACACAAAAGCAAATTGTGTAAGAACTCACTGAGCTAAACTATGTTTTAATAAATCTAGAAACAATGGTACTGAAATAATGATAAAGCAGTCATCAAACATGAACCAAAAATATTGAGAGATTAACTCTGTGCAAAACACTAGTCATTGCCTGCTCAGTTGCATACAGGATCAGTTGCAAAAACGTTTTTGGGAGATTTGAGCTATGTGTGTTTTCACTGGGCTGAAAGACTAAATGCCTTGATTGATTGATGTTATGAAACACACACACACACCGAAAATTTTAAATCCTCAGAGATTACCAAAACAAGATTCTTCTATAGTAGATCAAAGTATATACACATTTTTAAGTCAGCACAGCACTTGCGAAACAAGACTAACATATTCTTTCTCAGGGGTAATGGGCTTCTCATTAGAAGAAGAATAATTCCTGAGATATCAATTGTTTGGGGATTCTTGGTGAAAATCATTCTAGTAATCTGAGCGGCATTAAGGCAATAATACAGCAAGCATACAAAAATATTCACAGCTACTCTCTGTTCCCTGGGAATTTAGATGGGTAATCCCATATGGTTAAAAGTACTTGTTATGCATGGCAGAGGATGATTCCAAAACAATAGAAATCACTAAGGAATAGTAAGACGGAGTTAAAAATGAAGGGAACCTTGCTTTTCTGATGAAAAGAGAGCTGCAGGCAATTTTGGCCAGTGGTTGCCAATGCTATGTTCTCTTCACATCATCTTAGATGCTAATTTTGTGCAAGAACCTGACTATGGAAGAATTTAGTTTATTCAACTACTTGTTTCATCACAATAATAATCTCAGCGAAGACATCTGACTTCTCACTCTCTTTGCTGCCTCATATTATTCAGCTGCTACAAGATGATCTGTACAGGAATTACTGGGAACAGTTTGAGTGGAAAGAGAGCAAGGATGAAAATCTCTTGAGTGGCATGGTTGCAGGTACAAGCTGTTGCCTCCATGCCCCTTAGGGGAAAATGACGTTGCACATAGCAGGCACAGCAGCACACTCCTCTTACTACCTTGCATTTGTGAAGGAATTTCTTTTTGGGGGAGTACAGGGTGCTGGGCACGACGTCAGCCTCTAAGCAATGCTATGGGTGCTTCGTTTTCATGAGGACCCTGAAAAGTAAGACAAAATAAGTCTCAGACTCATAAACTGAGAACAATAACTTCGGGAGCAAAGTCGATTTTGTGCACTCAGGCAATGGGATTAAATGAATGCCACAAACTCTTCTCTTTGTGAAAGCTAAACTTCTCCTGGCTGAAGAGAACAGCCACAATTACTCAAAATTCCTGAAATAGGCCAACCATTTGTCCAGAGGGCGAAGAAACCCTGCCCGACTGGCTCCCACTCGAAACCAGTGTCAGGTTCCTGACCTTATGAACTCCCAGATGGAAAAGGAGGAGCTGTTCTCCGTAACCTCTCTCTCTCTCTCATTAAAGCAGGTAATGTGGTGGTTTGTATTGTCATTCGCTGATTATCTCTCAGACAAAATTGAATTGTTATATTTTATTATGGACTTTCCATCCTTTGTAGATTGGATAATATTTTTTAGTTTCCTTTTCTTAAAATGACACTGTTCATTAAGGGAAATATTTTTTCTTTTACAGTGGGTGTTGCTGGTAGATAAGCATGTCCATGACTATAGTTGCGCTCTAATAGTTCACTTTTAAGAAGACATTATTGTGTTCTTCGTGATCTACCACCTTTTTTTCTCTAAGTGTTTTCTGAGTGGGACTGGTGACAATAGGTCTCAGAAATCTGGAGAAAAGTGAGGAATGAAACTTCACTGTCTAAAGCAGTGACTCTTAGAATGTGGGATTTTTTTTTTAACAGGAGAAAATTAAAGTTTAATACATGTGCATGTGGAATTTACATAGGCATGAAACATTGGGTATACAAGAGATTTTTAGACTAAAGAGAAAGGGGGAGGAGACAGAGTATTAGATTTCAGAAGTGAGAATGGGCAATTTACAGGTCATTGAGGAAGAGCAGAATATACATGATAGGAAAATCCCTGCTGGGAGACTCAAAAACAATGAGACCTGGGGTACCTAGTAAGGGTAATTACTAATTTAATTCAAATTAGGCTAAGGTGACATTTTTAGTGCTTCTTCCTGAACCAGGTTTCTCTGTCTAAATCTCTTGAGCAAGAAAAGGTGGGAGGGTCAAAGGTTGTGGATGTCACAGGTTTCCTTGAAAACTTGTTAAAAAACTAGGAAGGTACATTAGAGAAAAAAAAAATGTTCATATGCTCACAAAAAAATCCTATATAATAAAAGGCTAATATGCAAATCGACCAAATGTGGAATGAATGGTTGCTATGGTGCACACTGCTCAGCCAGAAGCCGGGCTCATGGCTAGCAAGTGCAGCAGTGGCAGTAACGGGAGCCTCTCCCGCCCCTGTGGCAGCACTAAGGATGTCTGCTGAGGGCGAAAAAAAATGTTCATATGCTCACAAAAAAATCTTATATAATAAAAGGCTAATATGCAAATCGACCAAATGTGGAATGAATGGTTGCTATGGTGCACACTGCTCAGCCAGAAGCCGGGCTCATGGCTAGCAAGTGCAGCAGTGGCAGTAACGGGAGCCTCTCCCGCCCCTGTGGCAGCACTAAGGATGTCTGCTGAGGGCTCCTGGACTGTGAGAGGGTGCAGGCTGGGCTGAGGGACCCCTCCCTTGAGTGCAGGAATTTCGTGCACTGGGCCTCTAATATTATATAGGATCTCGGGAACTTCAGAATCCTGCTGACATGCACAATGGTCCCTCACCCAAAAGTTTATGAATATTAGGTAAGTCCTGTATAATGAAAGGGTATGAATATTTACTGAGTTTTGGAAGACTTTGCATGCCCCACTATATCTCAGCCTATGGCTGAAGTCTTTAGAGCTTCTTAGTTAGCCCTATTGCTCTGAGCTACCATAAAAAAAAAATACAGGTCAGTCTTCAATAGCAAGGACTGGATTCTTCATAAGTGCTGGTCATGAAGCAAATGTCCTACCCTATCTTCCCCTAAAAGTTGAGTCTTTAAAATTTCAACCACAGACCACACATTGCATAACTCACTTGGAGCACTCAGGGATTCACTTATGAGAAAGATGTACAAGATTTCAAAACTGGCTCTAGCTGGGTGGTTTTGCAGTTACCTATATGAAATGATCTGTCAATTTTAGCTTTGATCTTAGAAAACACATAGCCACTTCTTGATACATTCTTCATAATAAGCAGCTTGGATAGTACTCCTACTCCTGAATTCAAACTTTAAAAGTATCTGGAGAAAGAACAAACCTCTCTCTTCTTGAGACATTTCCTCCAGGGCAGGCCGAAGGTATACTGGGAAAAGCGAAGAGGGAAAGCTTGTCATTTTTCTATCCATAGTATCCTGAGCTGTCAATTCAGCAGCTTTCACAAGAACTAAACCAATTTTAAAAAGAGAGAGAGAGAGAACTTGAAAGTGTTGTACCATTAGCTATTCTGATTCTAGTCCATACCAGGAAGCAAAGGTTCTTATTATACCTTGTTCTATTTTTGATCTAATCCGTATCAACAGCCTGAAGTCTCAGCATGGTAATGCTGGGGAAATTCTTTGATGATAATTGGAAAGTTCACTGCCATGCCCCTTAAGTTAAACAATCTGACTGTCACTGGGAGTGCCACTTGGGCTATAAAGAGCCAGGGGTAAGAAAAGTGGGCATCTGAAATCAATGTGGGGTACAGGAGTCAATGTGGGGGCTACAGGAGTCAGTGTGGGGGTACAGGAGTCAATGTGGAGGCTATAAGAGTCAATGTGGGGGCTACAGGATTCAATGTGGGGGTTACAGGAGTCAATGTGGAGGCTACAGGAGTCAGTGTATGGCAGTGATGGCGAACCTTTTGAGCTCGGCGTGTCAGCATTTTGAAAAACCCTAACTTAACTCTGGTGCCGTGTCACATATAGAATTTTTTGATATTTGCAACCATAGTAAAACAAAAAC